AGAGAGAGAGAGAGAGAGAGAGAGAGAGAGAGAGAGAGAGAGAGATTGTTTATTTTAAATGTTGGTGTTTTAATCCCCCATCGACACAATTTAGATAATTTAGGAGGCGGGCTTTCCGACACTGCCTGTCAAGGCCAACCCGGGCTGAGAGGGATACCACAGCATCCTGGCAGAAAGACCGAGTAACTTGATAAAAATTTCTCCCCACTCGAAAATTGACCTTGGGTTTTCTGCATGGTAGTGCCTAATTACTGCTACACCACAGAGCGACAGACAGACAAAAGACAGATAAACAGACAGACAGACAGGCAGATAACTTGTCTGAGATTTTGTTTTTGGCTAAATATATCATTATTTTTGTCATTGTATCATCATCATCGTCATCATATAGCTGCATAGCATGTATATTATTATCATTCTGCTCAGTGTAACCCGAGAGAGAAACCTATGCACATCAGATTCTTTCATCATGCTATCCGTTCCTCTTTACTGTTCCTTTCATCATCTTTCAGGTACAACGGCGTCTGTGGTGTAATAGTAACAGTTAGGGCCTTCTTTGTCGCATGTAAAAGACGTGGGTTCGATTCCTGTGCGGGGAATTGTTGTTGTTGTTGTTGTTGTTGTTGTTGTTGTTGTGGAAGCCTATCCTTCCTAATTGTTTGGAGCCCCGATGAGCTTGCTCTACGCCACGGCTACCGCATCTCTCGAATACCGGGTGAGGCAGTCCAACCTCCCTGAATCTTCCCCAAATAAAAGAGATGCCACCGTCGGTCTATAATTATTTTTTTAATCCACTATCTCCACATATCTGTCAGGACGTCGTATCCCTTTCAGCCTGGGCGGGCCTTGACAGGATGGAAACACTCCGCCTCCTAACTGACATCAACTAGCTACAAATAACGATTAATCATTCTTTATTATTTCAGGTCATCATTTCTTCTTGACCCTGGACCTCTCTCCCTCAATGGACAGCGCTGATGGCACTATTAGTGTCAAGCTGACCGGACCTCAGGGCGAATCACGAATGACACCGATAAAAACGTGAGTTCTGGAGAATGATTTTGAGGTAAAGATAAAATAAAATGTATACCCCCCCCCAAAAAAAAAAAGAACAAAAGAAAGAAAAACACCCCTGTTACCCACTCCTTGACACTGTGCGTCACGACAATCACAACTGGTTGTTTTTTTTCGGTAAGTGTTTTACGGCGAGCGTAACTGCATACGGTCATATGAGAGCGCGGGACACACATTAAACATTTTCAGTTTGGTGGGAATTTCGAATTTTGCCAGGGTGGCGATCGAAGCTTACTCCATCGATTTTTAGGACCACTGAGGGATCTTTAACGGGCTCAACTTGCACATAGGACCTCCGAAATTTTTTGCCCTTATCCGAGAAGGCTAGGTTTGGATCTTATCTACCGTAAGATCAGGGATGTGGCTGAAAGACAGCAGTAAGGAGGAGCCAATGAGTAGCAGTAGGAAGGCTGCAGAAAGAGTCAGGAACCCAGAGGAGGGGGCAAAGGGGAGGGGGGGGCAGAAAGTGGAGACGAAAGCAGACGACAGAACATGGTTAGAGAGCAGGAAACGGGATAAAAGTAGAACAATTTAAAGATGAACCCTGGACCTAATCACAACTGTATATCTATTATATATTTGGTTATGTACATTTATGTCTGTATGCGATGTCGATGACCTAGTGGTCAGGCTACCTGACTCGTAATCGTGAGGTTGCGGGTAAGGGGGTTTGAGCTGCGGGCCCTCCGTTGTGTCTTTGGGAAAGGCACTTTACACGAATTTTCCTCACTTCATTCAGGTGGGAATAGGTACCCAGCCATAGGCTGCGAGAGATCTTGTCAGTATGTCAGTGTTTTAGCCTCTATAAAATTAATGGCCGCTTGCTCTGTGTGCATCCCAGAAAGTTGAGGTTGTTTCAGAATGCTCTCAAGTCTGCTGGGGTAATAGTACAGATTGTGAAGAGCATAGAGCTTGCTGTTGAGCAGGAATTTGCACTATACAGATGCGGTCTATCTATCATCTATCTATCTATCTATCTATCTATCTATCTATCTATCTATCTATCTATCTATCTATCTATCTATCTATTATTATTATTATTATTATTATTATTATTATTATTATTATTATTATTATTATTATTATTATTATTATTATTTAGTTGGGTAAAACACGATAGTCCCGTGACCGTGGGCTCCGAAAGTTTGTTTTAAACATGTTTTACCATCTTCAAGGTCTAAGTAAGAAAATTAGCCCCCCATACCTCTTTTTAAAACGTGGGCGTTACCCATGAGGCCTTGAAATCCAAGATGGCCATTAAATGGCAAAAATCGTCTTTTTCCAACACATTTGAAGTGTGATACATCACTTATAGGGTTTTTTAGGTCAAGAAGTTCATTTCTAGCCTTTCGTAAAATATAAGTACAAAAAATCCAATATGGCTGGCATCGTCTGTATTGAAAATGAGAAAAACGTTGGTATCACAAATAGTAACTTAAGGTTCACGAAGTAAGGGCATTTACTGATCTAGGATAATTCTTTTTGTATCATTTCATATTTTTAGTATTTTCCAAGCTGTTTATTTCCAGTTTGGCCGCTCATCGAAAATGTAAATACAGACAGCACCCGCGGTATGGGAACCTTGTCTATACTTATTGCACAGGTGCAAATGGTACAAACCTGTGACCATTGACCTATAACACCTCAACTCAAGATTCATTGAGTAGATCTGATTAAGCAGCATTTTAGAACCGATGCAACACGTAAAAAAATATCGCCGTGAGGGGATAATGAGCAGTTTAGACATTCAAAAGATGAACTATCATAGTTAGACAGAACATTCATCTAAAGGACAATAACCTCTTTTGTCTTTACTCTCGTTTTTATCTTGATCAGTTTGGTTTACAAGCTTGCTACCTTCATTATTGCTAGTATGAAAGGAGGCTGTGGTATTAAAGCTATCCAAATTTGACAATTGATGGGGTATCGCAGGACGACTAGGGCGAACTTGTCTGCATTGCCTATTCGGCTGTCGCAATACATGCATGGATAAAGATGCCCTGACATGACCAAGCATAACGTGAACGAAAAAACCCATTCAGGTGTCCCTTCAGCGGTGACGCTAGCTTAGCCCAGAAATCTGTAAGCCGCTTGGAGTATCTGTGGCGACCAAGTCATGAGATTATGAACCTAATCGAGTGCAGATGTCATATTGACTACATTTGGCTACTCTTCAGCGTCTGTCAGATGGCATGCATTAACATTTTGATCCAGAGAGTCTGACATCTCCAGTTGACACCTAAAACTTTTCCATGTCTGTGTCAGGCTGTTCGTACACTTGCTTTGCTAATTTCTTTTTTTTTTCAACATTCTTCCAAGCTGCATTGTAGCCAACAATGTGAGTTCTTGAGATGCATTGAAAACATTTAGGTTGTCCTTTACATTGAAAGATTTCTGCTTCCTGTGCTGATGAATCTGTCATGGACAAGAGCTTCTCTCAACAAAAGAATACACCCAGCACCATCTCCCGTTATGTTTCTCTAGGAAAGCTTGGTGTACAGTTCAGGCTGCAGCCAGGAAAATCAGCCAACCTAGTTTCTTTAAAGAGTTTGAAAGAAGCATGTTCGTATGCCATTTTAAAAAATGAAATGCCCCCCCCCCTCCCTCAATTTTTTTTTAAAATTACAAACATTTAAACGATATATCCTTAAATACAGTATGGTTTTCCTCTTTAATTTTGACATGGATTTTGTATGTTAGGCTTGTCGCTAACCATAAAGTATGATAAAGATAAAGGCAAAAAGTATGGATTTTCTTGCACTGACCGTGTAAAAAAAATTTTAATGACATCATGCAGAACGGGCTTACTTGATGGCTCAATGTATGTTGTATCATAGCTCCATTATAATAAGATTTTGTATTATTATTATCATTATATTGTAAACAGTCGAAATTGTCCAAAACGTCCATCCATTGTCGGGGTAAATAATGGTCGTCTTAGACTTGTGGACGTCTTTGGCAGGACTGATGAAAGTGAAGACAACAAATCATTCTCTTCTGAGGTCCCACCCAGATGTGGTTGCAAGCTTAGTAAGACTGCGCCGTAAGATCCATTTAAATACTTTTTCTATTCTTTTGAATGGATGGTGGAAAGAGAGGTTTTTATGACTGCTGTGAGTGTTGAATTCTACGAAGTATACAAAGAGAAAGACAAAACTTGAGGATTTAAATACGTTGTACGCACACACACACACACACACACATACACACACACACACACACACACACACACACACACACACAC